AATAATACTAAAAAATTTAAATTTACCCTTTTGCAATGAAAAATAGCACCTTGTTTTTTTTTAAAAAATTGTGAATAAATTTAACTAAAAGGGGTTATTTTTAAAACTAAAATAAAGGGAATATAAAATAAGGGACTTGGGCAAAAATAATGGGTTTTTCAAAGTTTAAAAGGACAGTAGTCACTATGATATTAAAATTGAAATTTAAAGGGGTAAGATCTGACTTTTTAAAATATAAGAAGTTGAGCAAGTAATTGCATTATAAAAAGTAAAAAAAAAAAAAATGAGGTAGTTAGTACTAGCTAGTAAATGATAGTTCTGGGAATTGCACAATAATGTAATTGGAGTATACACTAATTGCACCACACTAAAATAAGTAGTGGTAAACAAAATTAAATGGACAGGTAGCAACCATGAATAACATTAACTTGGAGTAAGATTTGACTTGCAACACAAAATTTGAGCAGTTAATAGCAATTAAAAAGAAGTAAAAAGTATTTGAGGTAGCTGGTATTAGCTAGTAAAAAAACAAAAACAAAAATAAAAATGCACAGTAATGTAATACGAATGTACACTATATGCACCACACGTATATACAGTAGGGCCCCACTTATACGACAGGTTAGGTTCCAGGCTACCGCCATAAAGCGGAAATCACCATAAAGTGGAACACCCTTTTTTTTTTCCCTTATAAATGCATACAAATACTAGATAACAAGTTTACACTAACATATATTAAGTTAGCAGTAGAACTAGGCATCAAAAAACAATAAAAAAGTAAAATACAGTGGACCCCCGCATACCGATTTTAATCCGTGCAAGAGGGCTCATTGGTATGCGAAATAATTGGTATGCGAATGAATTTTCCCCATAAGAAATAATGGAAATCAAATTAATCCGTGCAAGACACCCAAAAGTATGAAAAAAAAAAATTTTACCACATGAAATGTTAATTTTAATACACACAAACTGAAAAAGGCATGCACAATTACATGACACTTACTTTTATTGAAGATCTGGTGATGATTGATGGGATGGGAGGAGGGGAGAGAGAGTGTTAGTGTTTAGAAGGGGAATCCCCTTCCATTAAGACATGAGGTGTCGAGTCCTTTTCTGGGGTTACTTCCCTTCTTCTTTTAATGCCACTAGGACCAGCTTCAGAGTCACTGGACTTCTTTCGCACAACATATCTGTCCATAGTGGCCTGTACCTCTCGTTCCTTTATGACTTCCCTAAAGTGTTTCACAACATTGTCAGTGTAATAATCACCAGCACGGCTTGCAATAGCTGTGTGAGGGTGATTCTCATCCATAAAGGTTTGCACTTTCAGCCACATTGCACAGATTTCCTTAATCTTTGTAGTAGGCAACTTCTTCAATTTCTCTCTCCCCTCCTCTGAACCAGTTTCCTCAGGTCTGGCCTCTTGCTGTTGAAGTTGATCTATCAGTCATCAGTGGTTAGTTCTTCATTGTCCTCTCCACCAACTCTTCCACATCCTCTCCACTAACCTCCAACCCCAAGGACTTTCCCAATGCCACAATGGATTCCTCAACTGGCATAATCCTCTCAGGGTTAGCCTCAAACCCTTCAAAATCCCTTTTGTCTACACATTCTGGCCACAGTTTCTTCCAAGCAGAGTTCAAGGTCTTCTTAGTCACTCCCTCCCAAGCCTTACCTATAAGGTTTACACAATTGAGGATATTAAATTGCTCTCTCCAAAAGTCTCTTAGAGTCAGTTGAGTTTCTGAGGTCACTACAAAGCACCTTTCAAACAGAGCTTTTGTGTACAGTTTTTTGAAGTTTGCAATAACCTGCTGGTCCATGGGCTGCAGGAGAGGAGTGGTATTAGGAGGCAAAAACTTCACCTTAATGAATTTCATGTCCCCATAAAGTCGCTTTGCCACGTCTGTAGGATGACCAGGGGCATTGTCTAACACCAGGAGGCACTTAAGTTCTAATTTCTTTTCAGTTAGGTAATCTTTCACATTGGGGGCAAATGCATGGTGTAACCAGTCATAGAAAAAGTTCCTGGTGACCCATGCCTTACTGTTTGCCCTCCACAGCACACACAAATTCTCCTTGAGGACATTCTTTTGCCTGAACGGTCTGGGAGTTTCAGAGTGATACATTAATAAAGGCTTCACTTTGCAATCACCAGTAGCATTGGAACACATCAACAAAGTAAGCCTGTCTTTCATAGGCTTATGTCCTGGGAGTGCCTTTTCCTCCTGAGTAATGTAGGTCCTGCTTGGCATTTTCTTCCAAAACAGGCCTGTTTCATCACAATTAAACACTTGTTCAGGTTTCAGTCCTTCAGTTTCTATGTACTCCTTGAATTCCTGCACATATTTTTCAGCTGCTTTGTGGTCCGAACTGGCAGCCTCACCATGCCTTATCACACTATGTATGCCAATACGCTTCTTAAATCACTCAAACCAACCTTTGCTGGCCTTAAATTCACTCACATCAGCACTAGTTGCAGGCATTTTTTTAATTAAATCCTCATGCAACTTCCTAGCCTTTTCGCTTATGATCGCTTGAGAGACGCTATCTCCTGCTAGCTGTTTTTCATTTATCCACACCAATAAGAGTCTCTCAACATCTTCCATCACTTGCGATCTTTGTTTCGAAAACACAGTTAAACCTTTGGCAAGAACAGCTTCCTTGATTGCCTTTTTGTTGCCCACAATAGTAGCGATGGTTGATTGGGGTTTCTTGTACAACCTGGCCAGGTCGGCGATACGCACTCCACTTCATAACTTATCAATGATCTCTTTCTTCATTTCTATTGGGAAATTTTCACCCTTATTGCTGTAGGGTTGGCACTAGAAGCTTTCTTGGGGCCCATGGTCACTTATTTTCCAGATAAAGCACCGAAAACACTGTAATAATACGAAATATTCCGATTGTATGCTTGGATGTTACCGCGGAGGCTGGCTGGTAAACAATGGCACGGGCGGCACATGTGAGGCTGGCTGAGGGCGTACATTGGACGCGTCTCGGACGAACAGCGGCGAGCGGGTTTTTAAGCGGTATGCGAGGCAAAATTTTTGCGATTAAAGCAAGCGGTATGCGGATTAATCGTTATGTGATGCCAACGGTATGTGGGGGTCCACTGTACACACATAGTGCACTAATTACTTACCTTAAAATATTTGTAGTCTTAACCCTTTCAGGGTCCGTCCCGTAGATCTACGGCTTTACGTTCAGGGTCCAAACCATAGATCTACGTCATGAGCTCAGCTCAGCTCTGATAAACTGTGAGTGGTAAATTTGGGCCTAGATATGAGAGAATACATCTATGTGGTATGTGTGCACCACATAAAACAAATCCTGCAGCACACTGTGTATAATGAGAGAAAAAAAACTGAGACCTTGATTTTCGATTAAAACAACGACTTTGCAGTGTTTTTTCGTATGTTTTTTATAGTTGTATTTATGATTTCTTGGTCTCATTTGATAGAATGGAAGACATATCACAGAAATAGAGATAATTTTGTTTGGTGTTAGCACTGGAAATGGCTTGAAACTGAGCTCAAAGTGGCGGAAATATTAAATTTTTGCCGATGTTCAAGAGTAAACAAATGACCTCACACGTCTTATACACGCCAGCTGGTGGGTCTAATATACATTCACGAATGTGGTGATGATATTTATACAATTATTACAATATTGCATAACAGTAAATCTTCTATTTTTTGGTGTGAATAAAAATTCATTATGTGAATAAAAATTCAAAATGGAATTTATTTGTAAAGCCTCAAAACATAACTAATGAACAGAGGAAATGTTAGTTTAGTGCCAGGAATACCTACATTGTTTATTCTGGACCCTATTTTGAAATTGGAATATTTTAAACTTTGTGTTAAATTGGCCAAATTACCAGTTTCCGGTCACTTTATTTTGTAGTTGAAATGGTTGACTTGGCGATTTCTTGTGCTCAATCGATAGAATAGAAGTAATACTAGTGAAATAGCTAAGAATTTGGTCGACTGGAATAATGTAATTGGCCTAAAATGGGAGTCAAAGTCGGCAAAATCGCCGATTCGTAAATATCGCTGACACATCAAAATTCACGAGAGCATAATTTCGTCAGTTTTCCATCAAATTTCGTACTTTTTGTTTTATTACCTTCACAAAAAGATTCTCTACCATTTCATAAGAAAAAATAACAATTTTTTTTTTTTTTAAATTCTTGGACACTGGGGCACCACTTCAGATTTTGGCCTTGGACCCTGAAAGGGTTAATATAGGGTGAGACAAGTAGTATTTATTGTAAGAAATCAAGTGTGGTATGTATAGTAGTCAGCCGGGCTACCATACCAGGCCACCCCACCTACACATAATACAGTGGACCCCCCGCCTTATGTTATTAATCCATTCCTGAGAGCTCATCGTAAATCGAAATTATTGTTTGCCAAATTAATTTTCCCCATAAGAAATAATGGAAATCAAATTAATCCGGGTTTTGTAATGGGAACCGAGGCAAATTTTTTGCGATATAATGCATCGGATACCGGATTTATCGGATACCGATAGCATCGCGAACCGGGGGTCCACTGTACGTCAAAAAACCTGGTGCGTAAGCCGTACTAGTATGGCCGAAACCCTGAAAGGGTTAAAAAACACTTGAAATTTTGGAGTTTCCAGATATAATGGAGAGACTTAGTGCTTACCGATTTCATGGAGAATGTGAACAAAGTGGGTGGGGCACGGTAACCATATTAGAAAGTCAGGTGGGGGGAGCCGTATAGAGAGTTTTGGTCATAATTTGAAATGACTGTATTAGCGGAACGCCGTAAAGCGGGGCCCTGCTGTATGTGTTAAGGACACTTTTCTAATCTGTTACAGAAATGTCAGCTTTTTTAAGGAAGGTAGAGAAATCATGTTCATTTGAGATGGTATATTGTTGTCCTGTTGATTTTAAATTGTGCTGAATAGTACAAACAGAAATATAAACTTTTTATTAGATATTTATGCAATTTTTACATGAATTTCAGGCTCTTCCTCATCTCAAAGTGCAGCAGTAGGTCCAGTAAATAATGGTCCAAGTTCTTGGCCATTATATCTTGATGCCCAGGCTACCACTCCATTAGATCCTCGGGTGCTTGATGCTATGCTCCCATACCTTACCTATCAATATGGCAATCCTCACTCCCGTACACATGCCTATGGATGGGAGAGTGAAAAAGCTATGGAAAAAGCCAGACAGGTGAGAAGATAATAACATTATACAGTTATATGGTATTTTACAAACTAGCACTTTAAAACTTGAATAATACACGAGTTCTTCATATGATGGAGTATAGGAATATTTGATGATTTTATTTGTGTATAGGAGTCTGATGTGTTTAATAATTTTGCTGGGTTACAGTTATCCAAGATTCTGTATATACATTCTTCAGTGTTCGTTAAGTGAAGTGGCCAAAATAATTAATTCCACACTTAATAAAATGCTTCTTGTATCAAAATCAAGGCAAAACAATGAAAAAAAGTTTATACTGTAAGTACAGGACAGCCTCTCTTCACTTAACGATGGAGTTCCGTTCCTAAGACCATGTCGGTAAATGAAATCTTCGCTAGGTGAGGAGCATACTATAATGGTAGTGGGTTTATGTCAGCTATCTTTGATATTGTTTTAATGTCACCTTTGCACCATTTATAACATTTCTGTTATATTTTTAAATGTTTATACAGTAGTGTACTGTACATATATTGTAACAAACAGAATAGAGGAAATCAGCTCTAATATACATTATTTAGGCATGCATACTGGTCAGAAAGCCCGTTGTAAGTCTGAGGCATCAGTAAATGAGTACAGTCTCCCTCAACATTCGCGTTTTCAACTTTCGTGGGCTTCACACGTTTGCAAATTCCCAGCCGCTAAAATCCCAGCCACCAAATCATATTTAAGTTTCCCGCCACCAGCGCATCCCTACTACCCTCCCTCTGACCCCCGCAACTGGCAGCCAGTGCGCCTGCCACTCACTCAGTGTGGTGAGTGTTTTGTTTGTTCGTTATTTGCTATTAAACTACAGTATAAACAATGTCCACTCATTCATGACTGCATATTGGAAGGGCCATTCGGACAGGTATTGGACGGTGACATCATTTGTTTACTCTTGAACACGGCAAGGAATCAAACATTTCTGCTACTGATAATAATAATAATAATACGATAGAATTAAAGAAGGAAATTGTACAAAAATACGAGGGTTGAAGCAGTGATTAGGTGAGGAGCATACTATAATGGTAGTGGGTTTGTGTCATCTATCTCTGATATTGTTTTAATGTCACCTGTGAAGCAGTGGTGGAGGCAGTGGTTGAGGCATTGCGAGTCAGTGTGGCTTTGTTTATGCTGGAGTGAGCATTAGCCTCCATGCTCTTCCAAACATTTCACAATAATTTATTGTTTGGCGCTTAAGATTGAATGTGACTGCTACATAATTAACCATGGGCCCAAAGAAACTTCCTAGTGCCAGCCCTTTGGTAAAGAAATTGAGAAACACAATAGAATTGAAGAACGAAATTGTACAAAAATACGAGGCAGTGGTTGAGGCAGGGTTGAGGCAGTGGTTGAGGCAGTGGTTGAGGCAGTGGTGGAGGCAGTGGTACTTAATAACATACATGTTATTAAACCATAACATATATGTATATAGTACAATATTTTATGTTTTCATGTATTTTATGATTGTTCATGGTTCAATAGGTTAAGGAAGCAGTATTGTATTATATTTCCCTACAATATATTGGGGTACCAAACATTCATGATTTTTCAACATTCGTGAAGTTCTTGATCCCCTAACCCTCGCGAATGTTGAGGGAGACCTGTACGTCACTAAGTGAGGAGAGGCTGTATAAAAGACCATTATGCACTTTGCCTAGAAAAATTAGAGCATAGATTTTCACATAGGAGGAATAAAACAGTAAATCTTTGATTAACAGATGAACAGGTGGCCAGTAATGGTGAATTTGTTAGATAAAGATGAGATTGCTTTGACATGATTTTAATAATGGACAGTTCTGTAACCAACAGACTTTTTCCAATGCATCCAAATCAGCTGACCCAGTGAATTGTGTTCTGCTTTTGTGAAATCCATTAAATTGAGGGTTTACCATATTGTGTGATTACTAAAAGAAAAATTTGATTTTGTTTACTTATTGTAGATAATTTTTTTTGTTACATATTTGAGTTAAATAGGAATTAATATAGAGTATAATTGATGTACAGTAGTTTGGTTTTGTAATGTGACATTTCACAAGAGGAATACTGAATACACCTTATCAGTAGGATTATCTGGATATTTGAGGCTTCCATCCTAATTTGTCAAAATGTTAAATTTATTGCATCACCTACAGATAAGAAAACAGCAGTACACAAACAAAGAGAGATTTGTAAATTACTTTGGACACCGCTTGCATATGAAAAAAAGCAGGGCTTTGCTGCTAAATGTTTCTTCCTTTGGGATGGAAGATATAGGAGGAATTAGCTCAACTTAATTCACAAATGTTCTGCACTTAGGAAAGGCAACCTATAACAACATTTCGGTCCATCCTGGACCATTGTCAGGTTACTTATTCTTCTGGTTCAACTTAAGTTTCTGACTTTGGCAGTGTGTTTGGTGGCTACTTGTACTTTTTCTCTGAATGCTGATTTAAAAACCTAAAATGATTAAGTTTTTGGGCAAAATGGCTTTAAATTTAGTATAAGAATACTGTACATAGTTTGAATTCCATTTTGTAAATAATATACATGTACATACTGTGAAATTCAGAAAAAAAGAGATATCTGATAATTAAAGGTAATTGAGGCTTCCAGATTCAAACAGATAGGCAAGTACAATCAGGTAGTGTGCCTGTCTTGCACTTAGGAGACAGAGGATACAAATACAAATACAGATGCAGACTTTATTTCTTTGCATGGTATGCAGTGTGAGGTTTATATGTTATAAAAATTGTTAAGCACAAAGAAAGCCACTAGCATGCCTGAGCATTTCGGGATCAAACCTTCATCAGTATTTGCGATGAATGACTCACACGAGCTTAGTGTTTCACATGATTAATAATAGTTAATAATTCCAGATAAACTGGTTTCTGTGTCAGAGAAAGTGTTCTGTAGATTTATTACTGGAAGGATAGATACTGTACAATACAATAGAAGAAACAAGAGAAATTATGAACAAAAATGTTTGACAAAAATTGTAAAACTTTGGAAAACTTTTAACTTTATTTTCATTATATTATAGAGGCTACATGAATAATACAACAATAATTACAGTGTACATTTTTTTTTTTTTTTTTTTTTTTTTTGAAAATAGCAAGTTGCAGAACTCATTGGTGCAGACAAAAAGGAGATTATCTTCACCTCAGGTGCAACGGAAAGTAACAACATCAGTGTGAAAGGAGTTGCTCGATTTTACAAATCAAAGAAACGGCATATAATTACAACTCAAACAGTATGTATAGAAAAATGTTTCATGGTTTATTTATCCTAAGTGAATATGGAATTCTATTTAACTCTTAGACTCAGATTTAATTTTATATCTCATGTTGTGTTGCCTGTTTCTGTTTATACTCTTGTAAGATATATATAAAAATGTTTTTGTATTGCCTAGCAGCATTACCTTAATATTGTGGCATCTTTGGGTTTTGTTAGCTCTTTGATTTTCATCTGGTTTTCTTATTCCTTGTTATTCCTAGAATATTCTGGTTGTCAGAAGTTTCGAAATCATCTTCAGTGGACTGTTAACCTTTGTTCATTTTGTTTGACATACCTATCTGTTTTAGAAGTTTTTAAGTACTTTTCAGTACAGTACAGTAGTTAGATTGTCACATTTTTAAGGGGGGTTCTCTGACAAACCATGTTATTTCTAAAATTTTATCCTCTCTTGATATGTTGATGTCTAGACTATAATTCCAAGATTTATGAGACATTTTACAGTATTAAAAAATTGTCTTGTCACTAAATATTTTCTAATATAGTATGTATCTTATTTTAGTATTGCCACCCTACTACATATTTTATCTTATTAAACACTTCCAATTGCAGGAGCATAAGTGTGTCCTTGATTCGTGTCGGGCTTTAGAAAATGAGGGTTGGGAGGTTACGTATTTACCTGTGCAAAAGTCTGGTATTATCTCATTATCTGATCTGGAAGCAGCTATATGTCCTGATACTGCACTTGTGTCAGTTATGATGGTCAACAATGAAATTGGAGTTATTCAGCCTATCAAGTGAGTGCTTAGTAAAAATCCAAAAAGATTTACAATAGATAAATCAACATAATTTATTTAGATATCAGAAAGTTTGCAATCAGTTTGTTTTTTGAGTTAGAATTTATTTTATTTACATCAATTTATTGGTCTGTCTGCCATCTAGTTCATTCAGAAATTTTAAGTGTCCATCTTTTTTAACCCTTTGAGGGGTCCAGACCCCCATTCTGAAAATTCCCCACAGGGTTCAAAAATTTAAAAAAAAAAATTATTATTTTTTCTTATGAAATGGTAGAGAATCTCTTTCTGAAAGTAATTAAACAAAATGTATGAAATTTTATAAAAAATTAACGAAATTATGCTCACACGAATTTTGCTGTGTAAGCGATATTTGTGCATCAGCAATTTTGCCCACTTTGAGTCCTATTTTTGATCAATTACATTGTTCCATTAGACCAAATTCTTAGCTATTTTGCTAGTATGTATGCCATTTTATCTATTGAGCACAAGAAATTGCCCAGTCAACTATTTCAACTACTCAATAAAATGATCAGAAATTGGTGATTTGGCTAATTTCACACAAAATTCAAAATATTCCAGTTTCAAAATAGGGTCCAGAATAAGCAATGCAGGCATTCCTGGCACTAAAATAGCATTTCCTCTGTTTATTAGTTACATTTCCAGGCTTTACACATGAATTCCATTTTGATTTTTTCACAAAGAATTTTTTATTCACACCAAAAAGTAGAAGTGTTACTTTTATGCAATATTGTAATAATTGTATAAATAATATCAGTGCATCCGTGAACGCACATTAGACCCCGAGCTGATGTGTATTGGATGCGTAATGTGATTTGTTTACTCTTGAACATCGGCAAAAAATGAACATTCCCGCTACTTTGAGCTCAATTTCAAACTATTTTAATTACTAAAACCAATCAAAATCATCTCTAGTTCTGTAATATATCTTCCATTCTATCAATTGAAACCAAGAAACCATGAATACAACCATAAAAACCATGTGAAAATACACCGTAAAGTTGCTGTTTTAATCCAAAAACACGATTGCAATTTTTTTCTCATTATGCACTGCAAGCCGCAGGATTTGTTTTATATGATGCACACTTACCACATAGATGCATTCTCTAATACCTAGGCTCAAATTTACTGCTTACAACTTATCTGGGTGATCTGAGCTCATGACATAGTTCTACGGCTTGGATCCTGGCTTCTAATCCGTAGAACTATGGGATGGACCCTCAAGGGGTTAAATACACTGGCTGTTTCCCACTGAGGTAGGGTAACCCAAAAAAGAAACACTTTCACAATCATTTGCACTATCACTGTCTTGCCAGAGGCATGCAGATACAACAGCAAATATCCCCACCCCACCTTGAGAATGGAGGCATTTTGTATGCTGTTATATGGTTATGAAAATGAAAATGTTTGTTTCCTTGCAAAGCTTACAATGTGTGGTTTACATATTATAAAACAATTACAAAGAAGGTCACTAGCATGCCTAGGCATTTCAGGCAGACTAATCCTAATTCTTACTTTATATTGACACAGGTTATGGAGCAGTACATTTTAATATACATTATTGCATACTGATATAAAAGTTAGGTAATTGAAGTGATTAACATTAATTAGATTGATAATAGTGAGGTAGTACAAAACATTCCTAATATAGTTACTGCCTAATAAATCTTAAGTTAGTCCCAAGTTTGCCTGAAATACTCTCCCAATATAGGTATTGTGAATTTTTTTGTTATTTAGAAACAGTGTATCATGCTGAGATAAAACGATTCCCATTAGTAAATTAACTAATTATAATATTGTTATATTTACTGGATGTCCTGGCTTTAAGTGAAACAAAGCTGAAGGGGGTGGGAGAGTTTCAATGGAGAGGAATAAATGGGATTAGGTCAGGGGTTTCAAATAGAGTTAGAGCTAAAGAAGGAGTAGCAATAATGTTGAAGGATAAGCTATGGCAGGAAAAGAGGGACTACAAATGTATAAATTCAAGGATTATGTGGAGTAAAATAAAGATTGGATGTGAAAAGTGGGTTATAGTAAGCGTGTTATGCACCTGGAGAAGAGAGAAGTGTAGAGGGAGGAGAGAGATTCTGGGAAATGTTGAGTAATGTGGTGGGGAGTTTTGAATCAGTGTGAGAGTAATGGTGGTTGGGATTTCAATGCTAAAGTGGGTAAAAATGTTATGGAGGGAGTAGTAGGTAAATTTGGGGTGCCAGGGGTAATGGGAAAATGGGGAGCCTTTAATTGAGCTATGTGTAAAAAGAGATTTGGTAATAAGTAAATACATTTTTTTATGAAAAAGAGGATAAATAATATACAAGGTATGATGTGCACGTAATGAAAGTAGTTTGGGTTTGATTATGTATTGGTGGATAAAAGGTGATGGGTAGGCTCCAGGATGTACAGTTTTTTAGAGGGGCAACTGATATATCGGATCATTATTTAGTTGTAAACTACAGTTAGAGTAGAGGTAGATGGGAAAAGAGGAAGGTGGCAACAACAAGTAAGAGGGAGGTGAAAGTGTATAAACTAAGGGAGGAGGAAGTTCGGGCGAGATATAAGCGACTATTGGCAGAAAGGTGGGCTAGTACAAAGATGAGTAGTGGGGGGGTTGAAGAGGGTTGGAATAGTTTTAAAAATGCAGTATTAGAATGTGGGGCAGAAGTTTGTGGTTATAGGAGGGTGGGGCAGGAGGAAAGAGGAGTGATTGGTGGAATGATGAAGTAAAGGGTGTGATAAAAGAGAAAAAGGTAGCTTACGAGAGGTTTTTACAAAGCAGAAGTGTTATAAGAAGAGCAGAGTATTTGGAGAGTAAAAGAAAGGTGAAGAGAGTGGTGAGAGAGTGCAAAAGGAGAGCAGATGAAAGAGTGGGGAGAGGCACTGTCAAGAAATTTTAATGAAAATAAGAAAAAATTTTGGAGTGAGTTAAACAAGTAAGAAAGCCTAGGGAAAGTATGGTTTTGTCAGTTAAAAACAGAGTAGGGGAGTTAGTAGTGGGGAGAGGGAGGTATTAGGTAGATGGCGAGAATATTTTGAGGAACTTTTAAATGTTGAGGAAGAAAGGGAGGCGGTATATTTCATGCACTGGCCAGGGAGGTATACCATCTTTTAGGAGTGAAGAAGAGCAGAATGTAAGTGTGGTGGAGGTACGTGAGGCATTACGTAGAATGAAAGGGGGTAAAGCAGCTGGAACTGATGGGATCATGACAGAAATGTTAAAAGCAGGGGGGGATATAGTGTTGGAGTGGTTGGTATTTTTGTTTAATAAATGTATGAAAGAGGGGAAGGTACCTAGGGATTGGCGGAGAGCATGTATAGTCCCTTTATATAAAGGGAAAGGGGACAAAAGAGATTGTAGAAATTATAGAGGAATAAGTTTACTGAGTATACCAGGAAAAGTATACGGTAGGGTTATAATTGAAAGAATTAGAGGTAAGACAGAATGTATAATTGCGGACGAGCAAGCAGGCTTCAGAGTGGGTAGTGGATGTGTAGATCAAGTGTTTACATTGAAGCATATATGTGAACAGTATTTAGATAAAGGTAGGGAAGTTTTTAGTGCATTTATGGATTTAGAAAAGGTATATGATAGAGTGGATAGAGGAGCAATGTGGCAGATGTTGCAAGTATATGGAATAGGTGGTAAATTACTAAATGCTGTAAAGAGCTTTTATGAGGATAGTGAGGCTCAGGTTAGGGTGTGTAGAAGAGAGGGAGAATACTTCCCGGTAAAAGTAGGTCTTAGACAGGGATGTGTAATGTCACCATGGTTGTTTAATATATTTATAGATGGGGTTGTAAAAGAAGTAAATGCTAGGGTGTTCGGGAGAGGGGTGGGGTTAAATTATGGGAATCAAATTCAAAATGGGAATTGACACAGTTACTTTTTGCTGATGATACTGTGCTTATGGGAGATTCTAAGAAAAATTGCAAAGGTTAGTGGATGAGTTTGGGAATGTGTGTAAAGGTAGAAAGTTGAAAGTGAACATAGAAAGAGTAAGGTGATGAGGGTATCAAATGATTTAGATAAAGAAAAATTGGATATCAAATTGGGGAGGAGGAGTATGAAAGAAGTGAATGTTTTCAGATACTTGGGAGTTGACGTGTCGGCGGATGGATTTATGAAGGATGAGGTTAACCATAGAATTGATGAGGGAAAAAAGGTGAGTGGTGCATTGAGGTATATGTGGAGTCAAAAAACATTATCTATGGAGGCAAAGAAGGGAATGTATGAAAGTATAGTAGTACCAACACTCTTATATGGATGTGAAGCTTGGGTGGTAAATGCAGCAGCGAGGAGACGGTTGGAGGCAGTGGAGATGTCCTGTCTAAGGGCAATGTGTGGTGTAAATATTATGCAGAAAATTCGGAGTGTGGAAATTAGGAGAAGGTGTGGAGTTAATAAAAGCATTAGTCAGAGGGCAGAAGAGGGGTTGTTGAGGTGGTTTGGTCATTTAGAGAGAATGGATCAAAGTAGAATGACATGGAAAGCATATAAATCTATAGGGGAAGGAAAGAGGGGTAGGGGGCGTCCTCGAAAGGGTTGGAAAGAGGGGGTAAAGGAGGTTTTGTGGGCGAGGGGCTTGGACTTCCAGCAAGCGTGCATGAGCGTGTTAGATAGGAGCGAATGGAGACGAATGATACTTGGGACCTGACGATCTGTTGGAGTGTGAGCAGGGTAATATTTAGTGAAGCGATTCAGGGAAACCGGTTATTTTCATATAGTCGGACTTGAGTCCTGGAAATGGGAAGTACAATGCCTGCACTTTAAAGGAGGGGTTTGGGATATTGGCAGTTTGGAGGGATATGTTGTGTATCTTTATACGTATATGATTCTAAACTGTTGTATTCTGAGCACCTCTGCAAAAGCAGTGATAATGTGTGTGTGTGGTGAAAGTGTTGAATGATGATGAAAGTATTTTCTTTTTGGGGATTTTCTTTCTTTTTTGGGTCACCCTGCCTCGGTGGGAGACGACCGACTTGTT